AACAGGTTTTCGTATCAACAAGAAATTGTTCGATATAGTCATCATACACTTCACTAAGATCAAGTTGAGATAGATGTGAATACTCAATGATTAATAAATTTTGTTTGTTATCATGTAATTTTCTAGATCGTTTATCATTTTGTCGTTTTTCATTAATTAAAGTTAATATTTTCATAAATGGAAATGATTGAAAGATTTGAAAAAAAAATTTATGTTCAAAAGGTTGTTCATCAAATAACAATATTTCACGAACATGTTTAAATATTCGAGGATATGGGGTGTGGGTCTGGATACGAATCGTCTTTCCACCCACATCCTCCGTAATTTCATTTTCCGGTAAAGATCTAGGAAAGGGTCGAAAATGTCTGAAAATTTCAGAGTGTATAAAGTAGACATTGGGCTACAATATGGCTAAACTGAAATTGAAAACACAGCTAATCAAGAGGAATCAGAGAGAGATTTTTCAAAAAATTCCTGGAATTCCCTAGAAAACTTTTCAAGCATTTTGATTCTAAAGTAGACTTGTATCCTCACCTATGCTCTTTCTAACGGCGAAAACGTAAACTTAATAACTATCAGTGTTATCGAGCTATTCAACTAACAACCGTGTCCATTTTTTTTTCGAAATGGATAATAGTTCGACGTGTAATCGGTGAAAATAAACAAGAGAAATCAATTATAGATTTTGATGAAATGGCAATCAATTTACAAAAGAGAGCATCAGTATGTTATTTTTCATGTAAATGTATCAAACTGAACAGCAACGTTTTCAGAACTACTACGCGTTTCAAAATATAATGCCCTCTACTGCAGTTTGAATAACTGAAGAAGGTAAATAGATGAAGACGCGCGGTTTTCACCAATCGAACGAGGAGAGAGAGGAACATCTTTATCGCCAATATTGTATAAGATGGAATCATTTTAAAATGAGTCGTTTTTAACAAAAAGTAAGACAATATACTTAAAAATTAAAAGAAATCCGTAGTTTTCGTGCAATTGAATAGACGATTTCGTTTGTTCAACACCAAAATTTCATCAGAATGAAGAATTCTCGGAGTATTCAACAACGATATTTATTAGTAGTCGCTGCTTTTGTCGTTGAAGATCGATGAATTAATCTATGTGTCATTAAAGAATCGAGCAAAATCTACAAAATCCTTTTTGTATTCATTATTGTGTCCTTTTCATAATCCTCAACTATCGTTATTTATTCGACTTAATCTTTGTCATCGCCATGAGAATGTCATTCATTCATTCAATCCAATCGAATGAGGTACTCGGTTGCTTTTGTTTGGTGTCTTTTTATCTTTTCAATAGTGGTTCATTCGGAGCCAGTCGATTACAATATTCATGGTACTATCAAACCTGGCTGGGAATTTGTTCGAAATTTATTTCGAGAAAATTTCGTACAAGATCGAGATCTGGGTGCTTCCGTAGCGGCTTATTATCAAGGATCATTGGCGTTTGAATTAGGAGGTGGATGGTTTGATCAATCGCGAACAAAACCTTACGATGTCGAAACTTTGCAATTGGTCTTCTCGACTTCAAAAGGTCTTGTTGCTGCCGCTGTTGCACTTGCAGTTCAACGTGGTCTTCTCGACTATTCAGCTTTAGTAACTCGTTACTGGCCTGAATATGGACAAAATGGAAAAGAAAATACCACTGTAGCCGACATAATGTCCCACCGAGCCGGATTGCCCTATATTTCGGAACCATTCGAACAATTTTTAAATTGGACAGCAATGATTCATACATTAGAACAANAGTGGACGTTCGCCATTGGCGAAAGTCCAATTTACGAAAGTCCTATTGGCGAACATCCGGCTACTCTTTACAACAACGTGTTGAGCTTAACAAACATGTTTGTCCATCACCACAAAACAGATTTGATGTTCTTCTAACATATGACATTTCTTCACATCGAAAAGGGTGTGGGTATGGGTGTGGGTATGGGTGCGGGTGTGGATGTTGTTGTGCTTGAAGAGAAAACAATATCCACATCCACAATCCACATCCTCACCTCACACCCACAGCCACAGCCACAGCCACATCCCACACCCCACACCCAATAATATCTTTCAATCTGTATTTATTTTGTACATGTGCTTTAATTTCCGATGGTATACTGGTGGGATACCGACGGTTTCCTCAAATACTATGGTACTATACTGAACATAGTTTTTCGGACGATTTTGTTACGCGGATAACTATCTTATAAAGATAGTTTTTGAGGTGCGGCTTGCACGAAAATTACAGAAAATTTAAATCCTAAATATTAAGTCATAGTGGAACGGAACATACAACAATGAGCAGTAGTCATTTTCTGTTGGACTAGTTTTCTTCGAACGACTTTTTAAGCTCAGTTAATTTTTGTCGGCAATGTTTGAAAATGATTCAATCCATATTAATGGAAAGGAGAGAAGACGAGCTACATTTTGGTAACTCGTAACTTTTAAAGTAAACTTTTATATGAAAAAATCATCGTTACTTTGTGGAAAATTTGACATACTGTTCTTATTTCTTCAGAAAATTACCCCTCAAAAACCGAAAAACATTTTTCGTGAAATTTTAAACAATCTGATATCTGATGCAGCGTTTGACGCTCTTTCGAACAACACATTTGGAAAATAGTTATCCGAAAAACAAAGTCATCTGATAAATGATGTCCAGGACAGTACATTCAATATGACAGGAAATAGTGTAATCATAGAGGTTATCTATTTTGGTCATGGAGAAATCATTAGATCAAATCAATAGATATTTCTTTGATAAAATTTTGTAGAACGCTTTGTGGTGCATTTAAAAAAATAATAAAGATTTTATCATGTTTCCAAGCTGAGATATGCGTTAAATAAGAAAGCGTTGCAATCATTTTTCCACATTCAATAATCATGTCATTTTAATAGAAACTTGTTATCTGACTTCTCTGACATACAGAGATAATGGCGTGAACTCTAACAAGGTTGTCATTTACAATAGAAACTATATCTATGAGCTAAATATAAGCTTAAGCGGAAATTATCAGTTGGATGGGTTTCCTCATTAAAGATACATGACAAGAGCTCATGATGATACAATAGATCCAATTATGCCATACAAGCAACCATGCTGGTGAGGCTCAATTCTACACTTAATAACATCAATATGTCAGTATATAAATAACGTAATAATCTCAATACATTCTGGAGAACAAACTTTTCCTCCAAGCATGTCGACCGTTTATAATAACAGCACATCTAATGATGCATCTGTAAATATGTCAGTGTCCGTATCACGTACAATTCTGTTTTGGATTTTTATTATTCTTATAATTCCATCTATTCCCTGCTATTTATATATGTTTTTCCAATGTATTCATAAAGATATGTTGCGCAAACATATTCGAATTCATACTGTTTTCTGTGTATTAGTTTGCAGTTTTCTACAGGTAGATTTGACTTTTCGATTTTTCTTTTCTTCATTGAATCTATTAAGGTGACATCGGAGTTACCAATTATGCTTTCATATTTGCGAAATAATCTTGTTCCTATACAATCGGATATTTTTTGCAAGTTTTGGATATGTCAAGATTATTCATTTAATGTGATGATTTTAATGCTAATGGGTTTCACTGCAATCGAACGTTATTTACTCGTTTTTCATCGCCAATTTCTTCAGCAACATTTAGTTGTTCTTCACTATATACCAATGATTCTTTGCATTATCTATCCAATAGGACTCTATACTTATTTAATATTTTTCTATCCTTGTATTAATCAATTCACTTATACTATGATTACATGTAATGCGCCTTGCTATTTCTATGAAACCACAATTAGCACTTTCGATCAATTTATTGATCTTATTTTTCCTGTTGTAGTTAGTAGTCTTGCTAGTCTTGTATTATTGAGTCGTATTGTATGGCAAAAACGTCGCATGCAACAGCGTCAAATGTGGAAAAAAAATCGACGCCTTCTCATACAATTATTATATATTGTAATATTGTACAATCTTGTCTGGCTGCCTATGATAATTTGTTGGTTAGTTATTATTTTGTCTCCAGTTCCACAACCTTTCTTGGTCGAATTGAGCATCAATATTTTACCATATGGTATTTACATTTTGATTTTGCTATGTCTTTTTGTTTCATTAATTAGTTTACCTGAACTATGGCCTCGACACGATCCAAGGATTGTTCCATTAACAAGAGTTGGAAATTCATTACGACCTATTGCACTATTACCAATCATAGATGCCAATGCTTCAACTAGAGCAATCTGAAATAACGAGAACATCTTGATTCAGTGACTATCAAGACAAATGTCTTCTATCATATCTCGATTAATTGTAAACCATTTTCTGCCAGTTACTTCTACCACATTTTGTGACTGTAAATAATATTTAATTCATGAATAAAAATATGCGATTGCATCTTGTTGTTGTAAAACTTTTTTGTTGTTTTTTACTATTATTTAGTTGTCGTTTGCGTATAATAAAAAATAGAAACAATACATTATCTCATTTTTCTCTTTGCATTGCAGATTATTGTAGTTGAATAGAAAATGCACGTGAATGGAATGTATTTCATTCAGAAAAGAATAAAAGGTTAATGTTTCGATTCGCGCTAAATAAATATCGAACACAATATGACTATAGTTTTTCGACGGAAAATAATAACAGGTGTCGTCTCATGCATTTCTTCTAAGCAACTTAAGTAAGACTTACAGTCGAACAGGAATAATTCCAGACAAAAGTCACTAAGTTTATTTGCATTTATCAAAAGTAGGTCAACCTCTGAAGTTTTTTTCTCACTGCTTCTTTTTTTAGAGGCGTCCAGATGCATCTCAGTAATACAGGATTTTGCAAATATTATTTATAGCAAGAGATGTTAAATCATAGATTCTAAATGGTGGAAAACATATTTTAATAAACTTAATAAATTATTCATTTATTTCCTCGACCAAAGGAAGGGTCATAGGAAATAAAATGAGTTTGGTTGGTTGCTTGCAGTCACGTGTATGATCACGTGTCGATGTATATATATAGATTTTCTATAAAGTTTGAATAAATGTAATCGTAATCAAAGAATTCGAATCTGTAATCAGTTTTTCAAAATTTTAAGTGTGATTTTTTTCAAGAATGAAAGGTTATTTTACGAAAAATAGTGATTCTTCGTTGACTGAAAGGAGGGTCATACCGAAAAAAATTAATAAATTTGTATTTTCGCCATCAGGTTGTCGTGCAGTTAGGCTTTCAATCCGTAAGTTCTCTGTTCATGGAATATTGGAAATATCGAGCTGTCAACCAATCTTTATTGTGTAACCCAAACTTTAGTCTATACGCTACCTTGCCTATGTAAGATTCGTCCTATCAGTTTGATTAAGACAAGATTTTCAGCCGAACACCAGTTCTTTTAAGTATAACATTAATCTAATAAGAGTTTTCACGTTTTTTCAGTAAGCCAGAGAACTAAAGTCGCTTTACATTTCTCGTTGGCCTTCGTTTTATCTATTTGGGTTTGAGCAATCATTCGCTTGTCCACACTGATATTTCATTAACGTCGATGCAGAGTATTACCTCTATAGATTGTTTCAGAATAGCTGTAGTATTTTCAATTTTCAATCGAGAATTCTGTCACTGATAATCCCATAATTGTCTGGAAGGGAGCAGAATGTTATTTGGGTAGAATGTAACTAAAATAGAATAATCTTTCCCGAAAACAGACTTAAGCACAGGACGATTAGTCATGAGTGGTAGCCTGCACTCTAGAAAAAAACGTTTTCTCAGAAACCGACACCCCTTCAGAAACCCTTTCGGAAACCCATGAATGTATCCGGAAAGGTTTCCGAACTCATATTAAGTTTCTGAAAATACGTTCAAGGTTTCCGAACATTCGGAAACTTATGGGTTTTCGGAAGATAGGTCCGGAAACCCTCAACCATAGTCGCAGAAAACCTGGTGCTATTTTCGAAAACCGACAGGTTTCCGCGGAAACTGCTTTTGGTTTAAAAACTTTCTCGAAAACCTTTGCCTTTCCGATATTTTTTTATCGAAAACCTTTTTGGGTTTCCCAGGACCGGAAATAGTTGAAGCGTTTCCGAGCAATCGAGAATGGTTTTCGAACATCTATTGGAAATCCTGTAGGGTTTCCGAATCTTCAGAAAACCCTTGCGTTTCCATGAAAAAGCTCTCGAACCTCATCCAGTATTCTTAAACACGGAAATAGCATTGGGTCATCTTCTTTTTCATTCTCATGTTCCCGTCGTTATTTTAGAGGTTTAGGAATTTCTCAACATGCATGCAGTGGCGGCGGAGCCCTTAGGCTTGGGGAGGCTCAAGCCGCCCCTAAAAACGAATTGGGTAGGCTTGGAGAGGCTCAAATTTTTGAAAAAAATTTTACAGATCTCATTCTGGTTTTATTTTTTGGAATTGCTAACCATTTGAGCAAGTATTACTTGTTTTTTAGGAAAAGATTATATTCAGCCTGATGTCAGACGACAGACATTTGTAACTGTACTATTTTCGACGCATCGTCACATATTACTATTAGCCATTTTTTGATGAAGAGGAATAGTCAACGCATTGAACACATCGCTCGTACTCGACGTATTTTTATCTACTACTAAGACTTATCATCATCCTCACTTCATTGTTTTAAGACTTTGAACTAATAAACAATAATCTTTGCTTTGTTTTTTATGGGAAGGACATTGCACTAGTTCAGTTTTCTGTTGCTTTTCCACAATAATTTGAATATTCTCCTTCTTCTTCTTATTGTTACTATTAAACATATATATATATTTAGAACAATTTCGTTCACCTACGCAGTGGCGCTCGTTCACCTACACAGTGGCGCAGCCAGCATTCTTTTAGCATTGAGCCATTTCCCTGCGGAGCCCTGTTGAGGAGTGGGCAGCCATGAACAATTCAAAGTTTCATTGGTCTATATTTTCTTTGCTGGTCCGTTATACTTTTTAGATGCAAGATCATACCTGAACTCCAGACTCCGGTTGGGTAAAATATTTTTCACTCACTGGTGTAAAAACCTCGAATCTATTATTTATTTTCAAGCTACAGCGCAGCGAAATTTTCTTCTGCATTTGCAAAGATTCACATCTGCATAAAAAAGAGAATGTCAGTATTAGAATTCAACTTTTGTTACACATAGAAAAATGTACAGATAATGCTACTGAAGGCGACCAATTTTCGGAACAGTCGTAAAAAGTTTGACTGATAAAATTTAGAATTCAGTATGAAAAACGAGAACAGATTGATTTTTATAGTAGCAGCTGAAAAAAGCCATTCTTCATTTTGTACTTCACTGCCGAAGGCGGCAAGTTTTTGGGAAATAATTGAAAATTCGGGGCTGAAACTTTGAGGATGTGGATGTGGGTGTGGATGTGTGGGTGTAGGTGTGGGTGTGTGGGTGTGAGTGTGCGTTTTGATGTGTGGATGTGTGGATGTGTGGATGTGGGTGTTGGTGTGGATGTGGGTGTGAATGTGGATGTGGATGTGGGTGGATGTGGGTGTCTTTTCTGCTATCAATACCCACACCCACACACCCACATCAGCACCCATACCCACACCCACACCCATTTTTGTCCTTGAAAAATTTTTTTTGGATTCTGCAAAAAGCAAAATAAATACACAGAAATATTCAGAATTGCATGCTCTATCTTTCTAGCCTATTGAAAGTGAGGCATAGGGGGGGGCAGATTTGCGATCTTATCCGGCGGGGTACTTTTACTAAATATGAAGAGGTTTGTAGAGAATGCACAAATATCCATATTTGTGAGTAACAGACAATTGCTATCATTCTAAAAAAGTATTGGGCAATTGTCATCATTCTCAAAAATCATTGAGCAATAATTTTTAGAGCATTGAACAATTGCCCAACCCTGGATACACCACTGTGATGGAGCAATTGAAAATCTCTCTACCTCCTTCAATATTGTTCTTACGTTTTTGTTCAAAAAAAATTGTTGAGCCTCCCATAAATTAAAATCGTTCCGCCGCCTCTGTATGCATGATATAAACCTTATTCAATTTATATGGAGTGGTTGTGTAAAACCATTAGAACTCTGAGAATTCAAAAAAAATACATTGTTCCAGAGAGAATTTCGACTCGTTTTTACATCTTTCAGTACCTAAAAACTTGAATGGATTATGATAAGTTTTACTGTGAGGATCGCAGAGCTGCATTAAATCGCCAGGTCATTCAAAGAATGCCTTTTTTCTCCTTCTTCATTCACTTATGTTACATCCAAGTACAAACATTATCATTCTTGCCAACAGATTGCAACGGAATATAGTGCAAGTTTCAGCGGTTTGAGAATCTTCTCAACCCATCTATACAGAAGATTGATAGGAAAGGAACGATGCAAAACATGAAGAAATCTTCATTTGCAAGAGAATGTAAAACAAATGACGGATGTTTCGGAACGTTCGCAACATAATTTATTCTCCATGTATCTTCACAAACGTAAATAATAAAATCTTAAATTTTTTTCAAAATATGCGTCCTGATATTCTGTACGATAGTCAAAATAAAAGATCCTCTTCGCTTGTGCTAATAGATTTGGAGTAAGCTAAAAGAAAAGATGTATCAAATCTTGTAGTTTCTCACTTTGATATCGATTTAAGCGCTGTAGAAAGAACACATTTACTATCTAAATCAAATCATATGTACAAAAACTCATTTCTGAATATCATCATTTACGATAAAGTGACCATCTTGAGTTCGAAAATAGTCGGAAAGGATTAAAGGTGTGCAAACTGCGATTGTTGTTTAGCTAAAGAAAAAACAAAATCTGGACAGTGAGACACTATAGACTCTCATATACCTATGGTTTTAGCTCTCTCCAAGTCTATTAGTCCAAATCACAAGAATTTCTGCGTTCATGTATCGTCAATAGGGGTGGTACATTTACTTTACTTTTTCAAAAAGTAAATAAGTAAAGTAAGTTTTTTACTAGTGAATAAATTAAAATAAAATATGCATAATCAACTTAAAAAAACTGTGTCAACTGTCTGTATATTCTTGAATAAGCCAGTCTCATTACCGAAGTCATCAATACCAAATACCGAACTGGTGTTGAACTTATTTCGCATATTCCGAAATTTAGAGACGAGCCCACATCTTCCCCTGGAGATGGGGTGTGAGAGATCGGGAATGTATCATCTTCTTGAGAGATGCACATCGCTCCTCTCCAAGAGATGACACATGTTCTATGGAAGATGTAAGTGTGGATGCATCTCAGGATTCCGAGATGTGTGACACT